TCTGGTGCTAGCCAGGCGGGGAGTTCGGTACCTCTTCGTGAGTGTCCGTGTGAGCGAGCAGGAGCACGTGTTTGAGGACACGTACTTGTGCCTGCGCTTGCGGACATTGGAACCAAATGCGGTGATCTCAGTGAGGCGGGGGCTGGCCTCTGGCCCCTGCTCGCCCCCTCCCTCTCTCCTGGGATTTGGCGGGTTCAGCCCGGTGCCCACAGTCTGGGATGCCACTCCATGTCTACTGGTCCTTTCAAGGATGGCCTGCCCCACGCACCATGTTCGGGGTTGGATTGGGGGAGAGTGCAGTTAAGAAGAACACTTGCTGACTTTTAAGTCCCATAAAGCCATAATTGAACTCTGCTAGGCCGGTGTCAGAGAAGCGTGTCCTGTGAGCTGGTCTGAACGGTGGCAGCGGAGCCAGGGCAGCGAGAAAGCTGGGTATTGTGAAGGTGGACCCCAGACCTTGCTAACACTGGTTGGAGAATCCAAGGGGTCGCCTTGCCTGGATGGGAGGGAGCAGCTCTGGCCCAGGAGATAGTGGTCATGCCGGACTCATTTAGAAGTGGAGGGCCGGGTCACTGCCCCGCCGCCCTCTTCTCTGGTGCCCTCCACTTTGGGTTGACTTCTGGGATTCCCTGCCCCCCAGCCATCCACTCCTCTAGTGCCTTGAGTCTCATCCACAGCAGCCCCGCTTCTTTCCCCCCGCCCCCGTTCATCTTCGTCCTTTGGCTCCTGGCATTGCTCCCCCCACCCCAGCTCCCCTCCTCAGACAGACATCAGAGGACGCCCAACAGTGACTTCCCACCTGGTGCTTTCTCAGACACCATCGCTCTGTCGGACGGAGTCCGTTTCTTGGCTGTTCTCTCGTCTTCAGAACGTGCATGGCAGGGACTGTGACTCCGTGCCACTCGCGGCCCCTGGCAACTGGGGGTTTTAAGCGTATTCAGTTACTAATGAAGGCAGGAGACCAAAGGGATGTGATGAACGAAGCATTAACTTGATTGTTCCGGATATGAGCCGGGTCTCAAGGGCAGACTCCGGAGCTGCTATCAGCTAGGAAGTCACACGTGCCTTGCAATGTCCACTACTTGAGGACCCAGCGTCTGGTGGGCCCGGGGTGCTGGGGGCCTGCGGGGAAACTCGACCTTCTGGTGCCTGCCCCCAGCCCTGCCCCCGGCCTGCACCATCAGCGGGCGTTCTCCAGGACATGCTCCGTCCGCGCCCTCGGTTGCTTGCCAATTGTGCTTGCTTCTCGTAAGTTATTTATAAAGAGAAATCACTAATGGACTCTGCTGGTCCGAGAGCTTCGGGGCCGGGTGAACGATCGCTGGTGTTTGTAGAATTCATTGCCATAATAAACTTTGATGAGTTACACATGGTGTGGCGGCTCCGGTGGGTTTGCGAAGTGCAGCTGTGGCTGCTGGGGCGGGTGGGGGGTGGCATTGGGGGACCAGAAGGGGTGCTGGTGGGGGGCGGTGGGAGTCAGGATCAGGCTCTGCTGAAAGGCCTCTTTGATCATGTCTACAAAGCCTCATCTACCTGGATATCCTCTCTTGAGTGGCTGCCTGTCCCTGCTCCTTTGCCCCGGGGCTTGGCTCTCAGTGGCCTTTTCCTTTCTTCTCCCACACTTTGGTTTTTCATCTTAGGCTTTTTCCGCAGGGGTCCGCGGATTTGCTTCCTCCTGGGCCAAGCTTGGGCCCTACCAGGCCCCAGGCCGCCACCAGGGGGCGTGCGGGGCCCAGCCTAGCTGGGGCGGCGCTGCATTCCTGCCACCTGCTGTCAACTGGTCTAAAAGGACAGAGAGGGGCAGTGGGCCACGAAGCTGGCTGTGAGCCAAGTGCTCTTCAGCTGCCGCCCCACCTGCCTCCTCCCCAGTCCACCCTGAGCTCAGCTGGTTCTACCATGAGCTTTGGCAGGGCGTCTTCTGCTTTCGGCAGGAAGGGCAGCTTTGGGGCTGTCGGGAGACGGGGCTTCTGATGGACCCTCCAGCCAGCCCTTCTGCCATTCCTTCCTGGCAAGGTGACAGGGACAGGCTGCCTGTGGACAACGTGCGGAGATGCTGTGGACTATCAGTACTGAACATGCGAGGGGATCGCGGACGTGCATGCAACATCTCACTGGGGCCTTTCCACAGCCTTTTGATCCCCAGCTGTAAGCAGGGAGGAGACTGCAGGATGGCGGGGTCAGGGACCCGGTCGCACAGCCTGGGGCGGGGGTGGGCCCGGGCCCTGGCTGTCCCACCTGCTCCACCACCCCGCCAGGCCTTTGTGGTGTCAGAAGAGGGCACGGCCCTGAAGAAAGCTTGCGGAATCTAAGCCCGCGTTGAGAATCCCTGGGCTTTAGTCACGTTTTTACTGCCTTGGGCCCCCTCCTGAACTCTGGTGGCGCCTGGCATGCGTCCGGGGTTAAGGACACAGGACACCAGGGAGAGTTAGAAGCCGGTTTGGCTTTGTCGGAGGAAGCTGAAAAATTCGCACTCTGGCTGCACAGGCTGGTCCCTGGCTTCGCCTCCGGTCACAGAGTGATGGTAGGGCGGCAGGGGGCACGGAGGGGCTGGTGAGAAGAAGCACTTAATCTGAGAGGGCTTTATGGAGAGGGCTTTGGCTGGTCACCAGTGCACGGGCACCCCTGCAGCGCCTTGCTCTCCCTTCTCCCCAGGCCCTCCCCACACCTCTCCCTGCCTTGCATCCACCACATGAGGTCACTGGGCACCTTGCTGCAGAGCCAGCTGCCCAAGGACGTGCCCCAAGCGCCAAGTTCAGGTTCCTAGCTTAGTGGGAAGGACACTTTGCCAAGTTAGCTGGGGTGAGGCCGCTGGAGATGTCCCTTTGGCTGTCATGTTGGTCCCATTCAGGATTTCCAGATCCGAGCGGCATGATGACTTCGAAGCTAGGCTTGTCCCTGGTTACTCAGAACGAGCTTCTCCTCTGGGTCCTCAGGCTCCTTGACTCAACAGGAGAACGCGCCTAAATCAGGCTGCACGCTTACATGCCCCTGACGGTCGGGCAGGTCACGTAATTCAGGCAAACGGGCCAGCCCTGGGGGGACACCCAGTGAGCTCTACCCTCTCCGGCTCAGGGGCGGCCGCCCCTGCTCTGCTGGAAGGCTAGAGGGTGGACCTGAGGGGGCCCAGGACCCAGCACAGCCTAGTCTGCAGTGAGGGAGGCAGCCCGGGAGTGGCTCTCTGGGCGAGCAGCCCCCTCCCGGGGCCTCTGGCCTGAGTCTTCCTGCCAAGGCCTGAGCCTGACCAAAGGCAACTCCAAGGCCCAGACGGTTCTTATTCAACTGTTAACCAAACACATCTTTGTGGGGTGTCCCACCCAGGCCTGCCACGGCTTGGAAAACAGTTTTCTAAAGGGACTTACACCCCAGTGCAGCTCCTTTTTTTTGGGGGGGGGTTAAGTAGGTCATAGTTGTGTTGAGACCATGCACGGTGACCGAGCTGGAGAGCAGAGGGCTTTAATGCAGAAAGGTGCTGGTAGGCGGCATTGGGCGCCTCGCAGCCTCTGCCCTGCAGGGACCGAGGGCGTGCCTTGCCAAGATGGGCCGCTTGGCTGGCCAACTAGTTTGAGCAGAGGGCAATCAAGACTCTGAGGGCTCATGAGAAACAGTTGCTCCTCCTTTAACTACATAGAAGAATCCAAATTGGAGGTCTTTCCAGAATAAGTGTTATTGCCAGAGATAAATTTTATCTGAGCGGCCCATCTGTACGGCAGGGCAAACATCTAATTACCAAACATCTGGTCTTCTTACTGTCCCGTGAAGAACATTCCTTCCCTTTGCAGTCCCAGAGCCCTACCCCTTCTCCTTTGTTCAAAAACGACACATAGTCCTCATCCGGCCTGTCTTTGCAGCTTCCGTGTCTATGTGGATTCCCCGTCCACGCTCCTACTAAATTCGATTTTCTCCTGTGACTCTGTCTCATGTCAACGTGATTCTTAGTCCAGCTTGAAGGACCTCTGAGGGGACTGGAATTCTTGCTCCCCGACAACTCTCCCTAAAAGCCGCTTCTTAGTTCCCCTTTGAGGAACCCCTCACCCTGCCAAGTGTAGGAAGGTGAACGGGTGCCCCTGCTTCTGGATCCCTAGCATGGTTGGGGCAGACCTGAGACCTGGTTGGAAGGTGTGGGCGGAGGGCTGACCAGAACCTTCGGGCAATATAGTATCCCCGGATCCCCTGATTCTCCCCCACATCCTTCTAGTAACTTCCCATGTTGGCTTCTGTGACTCAGGCTGTGAAGAGCTGTTGCTCCCGGTAGAAACAGTGACAGAGTGTGCGGAGGAAGCCCCAGACCCAAGATGCCTCCCTAGGACTGGTGCCTGAGGGCTTAGTGGGGCCAGGCCCAGCCTCTGCCTGTTCTAGATCTTCAAGCCTCCAGCGAGATGTGCCCCTCTCGCTCATCCTCCTTTCCTCGCTAAGGAAACCCGGGCACCGCAGGCTGCCGTGTGTGTCTGGACGCTCTGACCAGCAGAGACTGCTTCTGCTGAGGAGTGAATGATTTAACTTCCAGAAACGTCCAGTCCCGGTCTCTGACTCTCAGCTTAGAAGTTAGCTGTGATGGGCTGAAACCTCTTTAGCTTTGAACTTTAAACTGCTGTGTGAAACAAAACCCTACGTGGGCTGGGATTTATGAGGTGCCCTCTCCAGGCCCTGGGCTGGCACAGTGCCCTTGGGCTTGGCCGCCAGTGGTCCCGGAGATCTAGTGTTCTTTGCTCCGGAAGGCATCTTGGGGCGAGGGGCTGGGGGGCTCACGGAGGGTGAAAATGGGGCTCCGTGTCAGGTGGCAGCTGCCTGCCAGGTTGAGGCACTCTGTCTGAGGAGCACAGCGCCTCTGACCACGACGGCTATACTGCTGTCCCGAGAGGGGTCCTGGCGTTGGACCCTGGACTGCGGAGGGGAGGCCCTCTAGCTCACAGGAAGTATAAAAAGTGTTATTTACAAAGAACATATTAAAAAAAACCCTGGAGAACTGAGCACCCCCCCGCCCACCCCACCCCACGCCCCAGAGCGGAGCTTCCTTGCTCACTGGGATCAGAGTCTGAGGAGAGAACCAGGTCCTCCGGGTGCTGTCCCCCACATGTCTGCTTGGGGAAGGTCTTGTTTCTGGGCTGTCCCCGTCATGGTTCCCACATGGGGAGGGACAGCCCAGCTGTGTTGGGGGTCTTCCCTGGGCTGGGATCCGACACCCGCAGCGGCAGGGACAGGGGACATATCTGAAGGTCCCCTTGTCTCCGTCCATGTTGTAGCTGGGGCAGAAATCATTTCCATGCAGCGGATGCAGACTGTTCTCAGGAGACAGGTCTGGCTCTTGATGTTTCGTGCCTGGTGCCTGGTTCTGAGGGGAGAGAAGGAAACAGGTCAGAGGAGGAAGCCTCACACCCCGGAGATGGTGCACGGAGGTGAGGGATAGGCCCCGAGCCCCCGGTTTCCTAGCTTGTGCTCTCTCCCTCTCAAATAAATAAATAAAATCTTAAAAAAAAAAAAAAGAGTCAAGATGTGTTGAGCCCCCCATTCTGGACGGGCAGGATGGGCAGGAGGCGAGGACCCAAGGAGCTGGTGCTTCTCCACAGGACCCATCCGAGGTCCCAGGGGTCCGGCAGCCGGGCTCACCTTTCACAGCCTCTGAGTCCCGTGCAGGTCGTAGTCACTGTCGGACGAGTTATCAGGCTGGGTGGAAACACGACGCAGGGCCCCTTCCAGAGCTGCAGAAAGGAAAGAGACCTTTTGCAGCAGGAGTACCCCACCAGGCGACCCAGAGAGAGCCCCTCAGAGCCCAGGAGCCCGTGGGGGCCTGCAGATCACAGGGGCTTTATGAGCTGGTGGCTTGACAGTCTGGTATCTGTTCTGATCAAATCAGCGGTGTTCACTAATGATACTGAACTCCAGGCTCCCTGGGGCTTAATTGTTCATGCCAGACTGGGAGCACTCAGTACAGGGCTTCCGCAGGCCCCTGCCAGCTCTGTGCTGCCTGGAAGGAATCCAAGGGGCCTCATTTACCATCCGGCCCACAGGGCCCTGCGGAGACGCTGGCCTGTTAGGTTGCAACAGTGCTGTGGCTACTGGTGTCCCAGTGTACGCTTCTCCGGAGCTGAGTGGCTAACAGTCTCGGGGCTGGGGGTGGGGGAGGCAAGCCGAGGACGGTGAAGGCTGGATCCCTTCCATACCCCGCTGGGACAGCTGTCAAAGGGCAGTGAGAGCCCCCTCTCCCCCAGGGCATCCCTTCTCCCAGTGATCACGTGACCCATGCTGGCCCGCCTCCTCCCCAGAAGCCAGGGGAGATAGCTGCTTACCTGCATAAGCAGAGACCTGGGAGTTCCTGGGCGGCTGACTGTATTCATTCTCCACGTGCGAGACGGTGGCGTTCTCAGCCTGGGACCGGACGGTCGCCGTGTGGTTGCGATGGAAGGACACTGAGCAGAGGCAGGGGACAGTGTCGTTAGCCTCCCTGCTCTGTCCCTCCTCCTCCTTCCTGGTAGGGGCTTGGAATTTCCCACTGTGGGATAGGGGAAAGGCAAGGGCACCCACAGTTTCTTCAATGCATCCCTCTACTCCTTTCTCCCTGGGAAGGTTCATTCTTGCAGGGGCCAGACTTTTAGAGCAGCTTGGGGTTGGCCAGCAGTCTGGTGGGGTGGGCTTTCCGTAGACCAGTCATTCATCAAGCATTTATTAAGCAGGGGATTGGAACACAAGTGATAGGGCGATATCATCCCTCCTCTCCTGGAGCTAAGGGGCTTTATACTGTAAGAGACTTCACAACACATCCTGCCTAGCAAAAGGAAAGGATGGATGTGGAGTGGGAAGTGGGATGCATCTTGCAAAAATGCCCATTAAGGTTCCAATAAGTCCTGAAATAAAGAACCAAGTCTAATGTTGCTTAACTCTCTGATTTCTAAATCTATGTGACCATGGATACCACCTGGTAACATCTGTTGACCACAGTCCCACCTTAGATGAGTATGGGGGTGGGGGTTAGAGGACTCAAGTAGTTGCTGGCTTCCATGATGGTCAGCAGTGAGCCGGGAGCCCCATAGACACTGGCTGGGGCTGAGGGAGGACCTTGCCTCCCAGGACACTTACTATTCTGGTTCATTCCTGTGGGGCCAATCCACTGGCGCTGTTTCTTCTGGCGGACTAGGAGACAGGAAAAGCACATGAGGACGAGGGTGGGCAGCCATCACGGGAGGGAAGGATGGGGAGATGCTGGGGGAAGGGAGGCAGGAGGTGGCAGGTGCAGCTGAAGGAAGGACTGCTGGACTTCACCCCCTGAAGCCTTTCGGGGTCTCAGTTTTCTGATTTGCTCAGAGGGTAACTGGACCCACCTAGAGCTAAAGGAGCGTGTTGAGGGGGCTGCCTCTTCAGAAGAAATGACCACGGGGCATTAGAATAGAGCCTAGCGCTAGGGACCTAGCCGACACTGCCCATCTCCAGGCCTTCTCTTTTCATCTCCTCTAATCCACTTCCTCTCTCTGAATAGTTTTTCCCAGAGTTCTGCGAGGCAAGGATACCAGCCCCTTATATTCACAAGGTGTGCAATCACCCATTAGGCAGATGAAGAAACTGAGGCTCAGAGAGGAAGTGGCTCCATCAGCATCTTGCGCCGTTGCTAGGGGGTGGAGCCAGGTCCGGAGGCTGGGGGTGGGTCCTTTTTGAAAATGGCCACGCCCCCTCCTTGGCCTGGGGGGTGCGTCGTGTGGGCCAATCAGCGCTTATCATGTTCCTGACTTTCTCTTTCTGTTCGTGAGGGCGGGAGAGGGGCGGGGCCGGGTGGCAAAGCAGAGGTGCCCTCCTCCGCCCCTCCCAGGCCCCCTCCCGGGAGTTGAAAGGCAGGGGGTTTGGGGCACCCGCACCTACATTTCTTCACCAGCTTCCTGTAGGCGTGAGGGCCGCACAAGACCAGCAGCACTGCCAGGAGCACAAGGGCCAGGATGATGCTCATCACGGTGCCTGCGCCCAGGCCTGCCGGGTTTGGGTCCTGGCCTGGGGGAGGCAGAGAGGTCAGGGCGGTCCTGCCCGGGACATCGGAACTGCCTGCTCAGAGGAAGGCTGCTGGCCGGCTGCCTGGCTTCCCCTGCCCCCCCCCCCCTCCTCCCCGCTCCTTGCAGTAATTCACCAGCGTGGGCAGAAGGCAGTCATACACCCGCCTCTCCACGCCTCTCTCCAATTCTCTGCTACCCATCCATCTGTCTCCTACCTACCATCCAGCAATTCATCACCCAGCTGTCACTGGCCCCTCTTGTTACAACTATTTAACGTTCTACCCTTTGCCAGTTGCTTATAAGTGATCACTTTGCCATCACATGCTAATAGCCATCCATCTGTCCGTCCATCCATCCCTCTTTTATGCGCTATTTGATTACCATTTCTCCCTTGCTTTTCTATCTTCCATCCTGGAAGACTAGAAGTTAGACTGAGAGCTCTCTCATCCATTATGGCCAGTCTCCTCTTTATGGCTCATGTTCATTGCTGTCTGAGCACCATTGCCAGCCCCGTCCCCTCCACCCCTGAGTTTGCCACCTTTCCTTCCTTTTCTAAGGCTCCGCAACTCTCTGTCTAGTCCTTGAGCCCGTCCTTCAGAAACACGCTCACTGATTGGGTCCTAGAGGGAAAATCCAGAATGTCCCTCTGCCCCCGGGGCTGTGGCCAACTCACATGTGACAAACACCCTCCTGCAGCGGGTTTTTTTCTCTTGAAGCTGGTGGCACTGGGACAGCTTCTCCTGGGGACAGAAGAGGCCGTGGGAGGTCTTCTCGGCATCCAGCACCCGGTAGGAGTTGACTTTGCCGCACTGCAGCTCCTGGCACACCTCTTCCCACCGCGCAGTGCCCTTGGCCCGGGGGACGTCACACAGGACTTCCCATTGCTTGCCCTGGCGCACCTGCACGGAGCCTTCACACAGACTGCTGCCCCCCACCAGGCGGCTCTGCACCTTGGGCTGGAAATCTGGAGAGGAGAAGCAATGGAGGGCAGGTGGCACGTTTGGAAGGAGCTCCCTTGGTTCCTAGTCTATGTGCCTGACCACTGGAGCCATGTGTCGCTGGCCAAGAGGGGGCCCTGGCAGAGCCCAGCTAGTTGGGGGCGGGGTGCTGGGATCACCTTCCTTTCTGTTCTTCCCTCCTTCTCACATCTTCTAGCATTTCCCCCCAGAAGCTCTTTCCCTGGCATGTGTGGGCAACTGCTGGTAGCTATCCTGAGATGTGACATCATGGGTGCTTTCAGGGAAGAAGCTGGCGGAGTGGCGATGCCCGTGGCAGCCACAGGAGGGAGTTGGCCTCCAGGCAGGGGAGGGTAAGAGAAGAGAAATGAGAAGCAGGCTCCCCCCGGGTCCACGTCCCTCTGAGAACCATTCTATCCTTCTCCTGCTGCTCTTTGGGAGATAGGAGGGCTTTTCAGAAAGGAGAAACTGAGGCCCAGGGATGGGAAACACTTCCTGCTCTGGGTCCTGGCAGTTCAGGGGTGGGACAGAACCCAGGAATCCTTCTGTCCAGCCTCTGGGGTGGCTTTGATGAAAGGATTGAATCCATTTCTGCTTGTCGGGGTGGGGCCTAGGCTCCAGAGCTGGGGCACACCTGTGCTCAGGTTAGAGTGAGCCGTGATCACACCAGCTTGGCCAGTTTCCATAGCAACATCCATCTAAAAGGCCCTAGTAAACGTTCTACTTAGAGTGGAATTTCAAAGGCAAGACCTCCCCCATCTGGTTTTGCAGGTTGTAGACTGCAGGAGGGCCAGGTGGGTCAGGGGGAGAGACCCTGGGGGCCTGCATCTACCTGGAGGGGGCAGTGTCTCGCTAATCCACACCAGGTATCCAGGGGCTGGGCGGGGTTGAGGAGTGAGGACCGGTGTGCTAGCGGGAGAGCCCAGTGGTCCAGAGCAAGGCTTCCAGAAGTGTGCACACACCTCCCCTAGGACCTTGCTGAGATGCAAATCGGAATGCACCTGCATTCCTAACCAGCCTGATGTAGCTGGTGATTTTGGTAGCGGAGGCTTGGACAGCAGGCTCTGGAGTGACGCTGCTCGAGTGGAAATCCCTGCTAATGCTCTGTGATACTGGGCAAGAAATTTAACCTCTCTGAGCCTCAGCTTCCCTATCTGTAAAGTGGGGATAATAATAGCACCCACCTCCTCAGGTTGTTGTGAAAATGAACGACCGTCCTGGGAAGGTCTCTAGCACCAAGGAAGTGCTCAGGAAGTCTGACTTCTTACAGTCCGGACTGGTGATGGGGACCCACTCCCTCCCGAGGCATGCTATGATTGTTCTTACTCTGATCTGTGGCCTTTTCCTCCTCTGTTTTCCCAGTGATCCTGGTTTTGGGGTCCCTAAGACCATCCTCTTGGGTCTCCTCCCCTCAGCCACACCCAGATTCATCAGTCTTCTTGTCATTGTGCAGGAGCTTCTGCGGGGAGCTCTGTGGGGACCTGCTCGGGCTCCTTCTGCCTGCTGTGCTGGGGGGACCTCCTACTTGTCACCCCTGCTCTGGTCCCATCTGTCTCTGGGATTTACAAACTCCTCTCCTGGAAGGCTGGTCCCCCTCAGTGCACCACCTGCTCCGATCCTTGGCACGAGTCACAATTCCCACCTAAAAAGACTCCTCTCCTCTGTTCCAGCAAACAAACCCCTGCTCCTCTCCTCCTTCCAAACCCCTGAGGAGACCTTGCCTCGTCCTGGAAGTCCTGGCTGATCCCACCTTCCCGAGTGGCAGCCTGTGCATTTGAGCTCATTCTGTGTTACTCTGCGGAGATCTCCAGGGCCTTGGGTGGAGTGTAGCCTCGCCCTCTGTTTCCCTCCCGTTCTCCTCGGTGCCCAGTGCCCTGTGCTCCACGCAGAGGTTTCTGGGAACAGGTGATGATGGACGATCTGGGGCGCCCCATGGGTCCTCACGGGGTCTCACTCACCAGAACAGACAAGGGCCAGAGCTTGGCCACCCTCATAGGGTGGGACTTTCCTGAAGCACTGCTCCAGGGACGCACAGCTGGCGTTCCGGACCTCCCATCGAATCGGCAAGGCCTTGCTCTCCCCCGCATCTTGGGTCCTGGTTGTCTCGGCCTCTGGCAGGTGCTTCAGGAAGGAGCCACAGTGGAGGGCCTCGCAGATGCGGTTCTTCAGGTCCTGGGTCCGGTCCTGGTCCTGCTCCTGGTAGCTGATGGCCCCCCCCCAGGCTGCCGTAGTAGAACTCCACCACGCCGGCGCACCGCAGGCCCCCGGGCCCGGCCACCAGCTGCAGCCTGGGAGGAGCTGTGGAGGGACGAAGCGGGGAGCGGGTCTGAGTGTCACCCAGCCGGCTGTGGGGGTGGGGGGGGCTTGCTCGCTGCCGACACAAGGTCGAAGGAGAGACTGGCCGTGGGGGGTGGTGAGCTCCCAAATGTTGCCCAGGACCTACTTATACTAAAACTTCATCATGTTCACCTGAAATTCCAATGCAATGGGGCATCCCATGTTCTTATTGGCTAAGTCCCGCATCCTGCCCCCGGGAACCTCCGAATTCTCTTACCTGTGGGCTCTGGAGTGGTGGTGGGTGGGGGGCTCGTGGGAGGAGGTGGTGTCTTCCGAGGCTCTGCAAGGAGATACTCCAGTGAGGGAGGGGCAGGAGCCCGGGAGGGAGGACTGGAAGTTGGGGGAAAGAAGGCAGGGTCGGGGGAGGGCTGGGGGTACTGGATGGTTTGGAGAAAGACCTAGAACTCATGACGTAAGTGCCGCTTGCCCCATTAGGCCCACTTGACCCACACGTTGTCTCTAAGCATCCTGTGGGGGGGGGCAGCGCAGGCCCATTTTACCGTTGGTAAGTGAGGGTTAAGAGGAGACGCTAACGTTAGCAATGGCAGAACCAGGTTTTTGATCTCTTCCAGCCCCCCCTCAGCCTTTCCCCTCCAGTTCCCCACCAGCTTATGTGTCTGGGGGGGTCATTGTTGTACATTAGAACCCCGCTTCCACCTGCTGGCTTGGGCCCCAGATCCCAGGCCCTGGGCAGCCTCCCCCGGGGCTGGTGCTCAGGCCCAGGGGACCCGTGTGGCCGGCTAGTCACCCACCTTGGCAGATCAGGCCCAGAGAGCTCCTCTGGCTGGCCTCACTGTAGCTGCAGTTGGAGAAGGACCCCAGGCGTCCGTAGCAGGTGACCGGGTGCTGGGGATTGTTGAAGTCAGGGAGGTGGGCCAAGACCAAGGCCTTCCCGCAAGCCAGGCTCCGGCAGAATTCTGAGGCCTGCGTGTTGTCCTCCCTGTGGTTTGTACCCTGGTTCCAGCTCCACCGAGACACTGTGTGCCATGTGGAACCGAGGAGGACCTCCAGCTGGCCCTGGCACGGCGAGTGGGAGCCTGTCAGTCTCACCATGTTTCCTGGGGGTCAAAGAGGTATGTGTTTGGGGGGTCCCCTCCGTGGGATCCCTCCTCTGCCCTCTCCCCACCAGGCTCCTACCCAGCCAGGCTGTCTTCCATCCCCGGGGGCTGCCTGCCTGGCTCCCGTGAGCTTTGCCCTCGGGGACATGGCAAGGAGGGGGGTTTCCCAGACACTCAAGCAGTCCCTCAAAGCTGGGCCCCTGGGGCTGGGGCTGGGGCTGGAGACCTCAGAGCAGAGGGGAACTCAGAGCAGCGGCAAGGGGGTGCTCAGGACCCCGCTGTCCAGCAGGATCGTCCCACTCTGCAAACTCTGCTTCATTAGAAATAGGGCCTGGTGCTTGTTCTATTTCTCTCTCTCTGATTTCTCAAACCAGTGTCATTGAGGTACGATTTAGACCCAGTGAAATGTGTGCACGTAGGAGTTGTTCAGGGGAACTTGACGAATGCATGCACGTCTGGACCTACTGCCACACTCGAGAGGTAGACATGTCTGTCACCTGGAACGTTCCCTCGTGCCCAGGTGTGGCCGATTCCCCTGCATCCAGCCTCAGGTGCCTACGGATCTGCTTTCTGTTGCTAGAGACGCATTTTGCCTCCTCTCCAATGTTATGTACGGGGAATCACGCAAATCGTGCAGTGTGTTTGTGTTTCTGTTGTCCTGTTTTTCTCGTCTGACCCCCTTCCTTCGGCATTCGGAGTTTCTCTGTATCGTTGCACCCACCACGTTCCCTCTTGTGGAATGAGGTCTCGCTGTGTGGCTGTGCCACGATTTGTTTATCTAGCCACTGTTCGGCTGTTGTGAACAAAGCCGCGTGGGACATTCCTGAGCTGATGTCTGTCTGTGTGGGCACGTGTTCCGTTTCTCTTGGGTAAATACCAAGGAGTGGAATTGTTGGATCATGGGTAAGAATGGGACTAGGGTGATTTTATAAAGCTTCCTGAAATAAAAAAGAAGGATATATATATTTGTACCTGCATAGATTCTAGAAGGAGAGAAAAGACAGGAATCCATGTGGTTGTTACCTGGGGTGTTAGGGTGGGGAAGGACTGGGCAGATGGGGGACAGAAATGGAAATGAGATGCGTCACTACAGATCTTTTCATATTTTTAAAGATTTAGGCCAGGCAACTGTATTACCTGTTCATGATTTCTTTCTTCCTTCCTTCCTTTCTTTCTTTTAATGTAGAAGGTTTTTCCGAGTGATTGGGAGGTGGAGGTTTTTCCCTGGTTGGAAACTTCTAGACAGGCTACCTTTTTCTGGGCTTAGGGCCCAGAGCACAGGGCTAGGGCTTGGCAAGGTCACTGGACCAGTTTGAGACAAACGGGGCTTGTCCAACTCCTGACATTGGCAGGATATTTTGCCCCTTTCCCCCCAGGGAGCTGACTCACTGAATCCTCACCAGGGAACAGATGTTCTCTCCATTTTATAGGTGGGGAAATTGGGGCTTAGAATGGACAAAGCACTTGCTAGGGCTCAGAGCTAGGATGCCACTGCAGGGCTCCAGGTCCTGGACAGGGGCCTGCTAAGGCCTCTACAGCTCCTTCTGGTTGCACACGGCTTCATGAGACCCTCCAGCACATGTCTCCCAAAACACATTCAGCATGATGTTATCTCAGGAGACATGAAAGAATGAGGTCTGGGGTGAAATGAGTCTGAGAACGGCTGAGTTAAAAAGTACTGAACAGGTTTTTTTCACTGCAGGACTTCTCAGAGCCTTCTCCAGGCCGGTATACGCAGTCATTCTCCAGTGAGGGACGTCTCCAGTGTTGCCTAGCTTTTATACAATGCATTCCAGGAGCCCTGTTTGGGAAACACTAGCCTCTTCAAGTCTCACCTTGAAGGCAGGGCATTCCACATACTTTACAGTCTGCAGCAGCCCCTCTCCACAGCGTCAGCTGCAAATGCCTTTGATTGGGGAGACCTGGCAGGACTGAGTAGGAAACAGGACTGTGCAGGGTGCATTATGGGCCAGTATGTTTTCTGTGCGTGGTGAATGGGTCCCAGTAGTAATTACCCTGAGAACCAGCATTCAGGTGGCGCTTTTGAGGCCATTGAGGGCATCTGTAGGCACGCGAGCATCTAAATGTGTACGCTTGTGTGGGTGTCCATATCTGAGCGTGCTGGGGCGCTCTCTCGCTCTGTGGGGGTGGGGTTCACTCTGGCAGGTCCCCCTACAGCCCGATGGAATCATAGCTCCCCCCCATCACCCCCTGGTCCAGGCCTCTGTATGGCTCTTCCTTACCTGACTTCTCCCAGTAGGGCCCCCCGAGGCAGGAATTGACTGCGGAAAGGAGAGAGGAGGGTCAGGAACTGGAGCCTCCCTCTTGCCCCCCACCCCACCTCACACCTGCCCGCTGAGTAGTGGCCTCCTCTGCAGCCCCCTCGTATGGGGTTCTGGGTTCCATACTACACATCAGAGCCCCTAGGTGGGTCATGAAACCAACTCCGTGGGTTGCAACTATCCATGTTTTCCCCGTTTTAAAGCTTTACTTTTTATATAAACATCAGTAAAAGGGATTTTCCTTTGGTGCATAGACTATGAAGAGAGAATGTCAGAATACACGGTTGGTTGTGAGGATAAGGGATCCCTTTCCCTGCCTCTGGCTGCAGTGTGAAACCCTCGTGAACACTGCTTTCAGTCTAAGAGAGTTTGAACTTTGCAGCTGTAGAGAACCAGAGGAATGACTGAGAATGGGAGGCCCCAGCATCATTTGTACTTTCCAGCATCCTGGTGGCAGGATGGGCATGACAGTAATGTATCTTCAGTGGCTCAGCTTCTGGAGGAGGAAGTCAGCTCCGAGATGGGGGGGCGGGGTGCCGAGATAACACAGCCAGGCGGCACAGTGCTCGTCTGTGGCTGGGGCGGAGGTGGGATTTGGGTGGGCCTGGGGGGGATGCACTTGTGTGGCCTCAGAACCCCCCTCCATGTTTGCTGCTCAGCTCTGTCAGCCTTAAAGTAGGGGCTCTGATTTCCCTCTGTCTGACCCTTGGGCTGGCTTCGTAGCTGGGAGCCGGGACAGTCAGAGTGACGACTTTAGGGAGTAAATGGTTCCCTTGAAATTGCTTTTGAGAAATTGTTGCCGCGTGTTTAAAAGAAAAAAAAAAGTGTGTTTTAAAAAGCCTGTTTTTCCCTGAGTGTTCTGGAGCTGGTGTTAGAATTATAAGGGAAGACAGGCCCCAGCCAGCTGGCCCTTTCCTCCCAGCCAAGGCTCTCGGTAATAACGCCCACATCGCACCGTGACGTTTCTGCATCTGGTGCTCAAAGCTGGGGGTACTGGAGCCCGTGGGGCCTGGGGCAGGCACGGCGAGGATAGTCAGGGAGCGCTGCTGGCCTGGGGTGTGTGGAGATCCAGACAAGAGGGCTCACCACTCCTGCTTCCCACCTGAGACCTTCATACTCCCCAGTCAACATTCATTATTAATAGCAGCTACCAACAATTGAGCACCTACTGTGTACTCAGCACTCAGGGTCGCTCCTGATGGATATCATTGTTACTCTTCACATGGCTTCATGATGTGAGTCGAATATATTCATGGTGTCAATGTTGGGAGAGGGAGAATGCCCTGTCCAGGGGGACACTGCCAGCACCTGCCAGGGCCTGGATTCAAACTGTGAGTCTGCCTTCCAAAACCATGCTCACTGCCACCTAGTTGTGCCTCCAGAGTGCCAAGTTGGGGGTGCAGAGATGAACACAGCCCAGACCCTGTCCCTGAGGGGCTTGAGCCCCCAGACATTGGAGCCCTTGGGGACAGGGACTGGACCAGACCGTTCTCACAGATATCACACAGGATGACCTATACTCCCTTCAGAGAACGTTCTTGGGAAAGAGGGAACAAGCTGGAGAACCAAGTAAAATCCCCAAAATGCTCTTTGAGGAAGGGCGTCTAGGAATCCCAGGGCTTTGGCTCCCTCTGGGTGCCTGATGTTCTCGGTAGAACAGCATTTCCTGGATTGTTCCTACTTCACCATCACCATCACTGTCACTGTCACCACAATCAACATGAGTACCATCACTATCACCATCACTGTCACCATCACTACCTCCATCAGCCTCACCGTCACTACCATTGGCATCATTGCCATCACTATGACCACTATCACCTTCACCACCATCACCATCACCGTCACCATCACTGCCTCCATCGGTCTCACCATCACTACCACCAACATCATTATATCACCATGACGACCGCCATCACCATTACCATCACTGTCACCATCACCATCACTACCTCCATCGTCCTCACCATCATCACCATGATGATGACTGTTAACCATCAACAACAACACCGCCATCACCATCACACCCATCACCATCACCATCAGCCTCACCATCATCATCATCACCACTGGAAACACTGTTAGAGTTCACAGTTACCAGGCATTTATATATGTTAACTCTCTCAAATCTCACCACAGCTCTATGAAGTAGGTACTATTTTTTTTTTTTTAAGATTTATTTATTTTAGAGAGGGAGGAGAGAGCATGTGCTAGTGAGGGGAGGGGCAGCTGGAGAGGGAGAGAGAATCCGAAAGCAGACTCCCTATCCAGCACGGAGCCTGACGTGGGGTTCCAACACCCGACCCTGACATCACAACCTGGCTAAAACCGAGAGCCCGATACTTAACTGACTGAGCCACCCAGGCACCCAAGTGGGCACTATTATTTTAATCTCCATTTTATAGTTGAAGAAGTGGCGGAAGAATAACTAACTTGCTACGCCGCAGGTCACTGCTGGGGCTGGGACTCAAAGCCAAGACATCTGTCCCAGACTCTGTGCTCTTGACTGCTGGGCCAAGCTGCCTCCCGTCCCTTCACCACTCTTGGCCTGTTCACGGCGTACGGACCTGATGATCAGGAGTGAACTTGGAATTCCATTCCGTTAGTGAAACATGCCATCGGGAACCTTTTCTGCGAACTTGCTCTGTGATCTTGGCAAGTCATTCAACCTCTCTGGGCTTGGTTTCCTCATCTGTAAAATGAGGAAGTTAGATGCCACCATCCTCAGCTTCCTCTCTGTTCAGACTTCTCTGATCTATAACCTTCAGGTCCTGATGTATCTCAGTGGCTGGCAGGGACCGGGCAGAAGTGGTCGGTGAGATGTGTGACTGACCCGGAGCCTTCTGGATGCTTCTTCTTTCTGTCTGTCCAGAGACATGCTCAGGTTTTCATTGTCCAAGACCTATTTTCATTCTCTTAGCTGCTCCTCACAGGGGTGTGACCAGTAGCTTCCTTCTCTGGAGCCCTGGAGACTGGGCTCAGGTTCTCTCTGAGCCCGTCCGGGGCTGTGGCTTTGCCAGCCCCGCGTGTGGCTGAGGCCCATGGCTCTGCGGCTACAGGAGCTGCAAACAGAAGCCCAGAGACCCCGAGGCCCATGAGGGACGCCATGGCCATTTCCTAATCTGCCAGCCATGGCTGCAGCTGAGCAGCTGGGGCCAGGAATGAGAATCCTCCAAAGGCCCCCTTTCTCCCCTGCCGGCCCCCCTTTGGAGGCCCCTGATGTCGTGCTTGGAGTGGCCGAGCCCAGGCCGTGTTCAGGGCTGAGAAAGCCCGAGAGAGCTGGCCAGCACCTCTGAGGCACCCTACTGTCTCCCCGTGTCTGGAGTTCCAGCTTCCAACTCGTGATGGGTTCTGCAACAGAACATATGGATTTTCACATGATGTGGGAGGCGCGGGGTTAGAAACAGCCTGCTGTTCGTTCAGGTCAGGATTTGCACCAAAGGAGTTTTCCAGAGATCCGCAGACGTCGTTTGGGTTTGGGAATTGTTGGCGAATGTTCCGTGTTAGCGGTTCCCCTTTGCGGGACTTGGCAGAGCTAGAGCTTGGTCCAGGCTGGCCGGCCCCGGGCCCGCTCCCAGACCCTGCTGGGACCCGCGCACATCTTTGCAGTGGCCACGTGCCGGGAAGCAGAGGCAAGGCGGCGGGGTCCTGGGAGCTGGGATGCGACTGATGGGAACAGTGAGAGTGAACCCTCACGGCACTCCTACTTGGTGCAACCCCAGGGCGAGCCCTTTGTGCGGGAGACCCCACTCCCGACAGCCTTACTGAGGGGGGCTGCCATCACCCAGTCTCCCAGATCAGGAAACAGAAGGACTTAGCCCTGTTTGGAAGTCAGATGTTCTGTTTTTCCAACAATGAGTCCGTCTAATAGTCGGCAAACGTCTCATCAATTCACAGTGAACACCCCACGTCGGACGGCCTTTTGGGGGGAGTTCTGGATTTTTCTTCCTTTCATCGTCTGATGAGAGGCGGACTTGGAAGATCGGAAAGCCCCTTTTCTGAAACGACACCAGTCAGCAGAGCGGGGTCTACCCCTCAAGCTTGAAGGAAACAAAGATCACGAAGGCCCCAAGCTCTGTTTCTCAGTGGAGCACCAGAGGCACTGGCTGGTTTTTGATCAGGAGTCTCTTTATGGGCCAGACACATAGAGAGTCATACCGAGCTTATGCCAGGAGAAGCCTGGGGACTGGCGCCTGCAGAAGGAATGACAGATTCAGGCCTCTAATCCCACTTGCTGGGCCTGCGCCAACCTGAGGATGTGAGCCAATCACAAGCACAATGGCCGTCACAGTCTACATTGTGGTCGCTCTCTCGCTGGTGGCCTGCTGTGTCCGATCGAATTTGCATGAATTTCATGCCATATGTGCATCTCCACTGTGACAGGGACGAGACCTCTGTTTTGTTCAGAACTTCACATATCCCAAAGTTTTTTTCCACCCACGGCCCTGTGAGGAAGGGCCCACGCTCATTCTCATCTTCAGATAAGCGAACTGAGGTTCAGAGAGGCCGAGTGACTTGGCCAAGGTCACACAGCTTGCTGATGGTAGCGTCAGGACACGAAACCCCATCACCATCACTTTACAGGGCCCTACGGGAATCTACCACTGGGAGAACCTGGAGCCAGCTCACCCCAGGGTACAGATAGGGGAAACTGAGGCCAAGGAGGGAAGGGCTCACCCTGGATGTCTCCATGGGTGTCTATGGCGGCCCAGGACCCTTTTTGCTTCTGCCAATCACCACCAATTGCCTATCCTGTTCCCACCACATCTGTCCCAGCTGAGCCCCAAGGGAAAAGGGTGTTTCAGGGTTCCTGTGGGAACCGGACATCATGATGGTGATGGATGAAGTGGACGGAGGAAGTGATCTGGGGCTACAGTCCCTCATCTGCCACTCAGAACCCCAAACCAGAAATCTTTTCTAGTGCACTTGGCGGGAGGATGTTTGCAGCCCTTGCGAGTCTCTCTTAGGGTGTGAGTTCATGTTCCACTGAATGGGAATGCGTTCAGTTAGCGGGTGTTCTGGAGACCTCATTGGTGGGTGATGAGCACACAGCACACACACAGTATGACCCATACTGGAAAATTCCCAAACACGTCTTGCCCGAGGTCGGGGATGAGGGTGTGTGGGCCTGGAAAGGTATAGGGGACCATCTACTGTCCTGCCAGGGCCCACACGGCATGCTCACTCACTTCTTATAAGCTGTCGCCCAAACATTATCCTCTCGGGAGACCCCCTGCACCCTCCCTGGGTAAGCACGGCACCCGACACTGCCAACCTCCCAGCCCCACCCCACCCATGACCTCCCAGGACCGATGCTGTCCCTGTCTCCTCATCACACCTAGACTCTTACGTTGGATCTGCCAGGGCGGGGATTTCGAAGGTTCAGTCGTGTCCCCAGCGCTTAGAATAGTGGCTGGCACATAGTAGGTGCTCGGTAAAGGCTTGCTGTTGGAATGAGTGAATGAACCAGATTTACAATTGCATTGACCTTGAAGGTGAGTGCCCTGGTCATCCCCAGATGAGAAGGCTGAGATTCTGAGAAGCATTCTTGTCATTTGTGAGGGGCCCTACAGAAATCATGCCCCAGTCTGCACGACTCCAAGCCCCACAGGCCTTCGCACACAGGCAGGCACACACAGCCCCTATGCACGGGCTCACAGGCACGTGGCACACACTCACATAGCATGCACACATGGGCTCACACCTGTACCCACACACTTGCACACCCACAGACTAGTGTTCAATCAGTTCCATCAGGGGGTTGAAACCCCTCCTTGGTCTCTGCGGGGAACACCCCGCTGGAGTGTTGGTGCTGGGCAGAGTGACTGGAAGGGCCAGTGCCGGCCCCGGGGCCCCCAGGTTCCTCTATTCCCCACTGGGGGTGGGGAGCTTGGGCTGCTGGGTGCTAGATTCTTTTCACCCAGAGCCAGCAAGGGCCTCAGCTTCTGCACGCTGGAATAGCGGGCCAGGGAAGACTGCCCGAAGCTAGAGTCTCCGAGGCCACCATCTCCTGTGGGTGCCCAGCCCTTCTTGGGCCTGTCCTGCCTGCTGTGTCTTGCCAACCCCTACGGGACGCGTCTCCCTTTTCTCTGCCTGGCTCCTTCCTGCCTCCGTGTCTCCCAAAAGACACCACCACCTCAGAGAGGCCCTCGGGGAAGAGGACTGGGAAAGAGAAGGCTCGATGGCCAGGCTGGCATCTGGCTAGACTCCCCACCACGTCCTACCCGACTTGTTCCCTGCTGACCCCGACCCTGGTGACAATGATGGTAATAGTAACTGGGACCATCGATGTTTACTGGGCACTTAACTGCACTCGAACTGACCTTCCTACTCAGAGCCTATAGTCATTGATTCGTTTAACCCTTACAAATCTCTATGAGATATATACTCTTATTATTTCCATTTTGCAGAGGAGGAAACTGAGGCTTACAGAATGGTCCAAGGTCACCCAGCTGGCAAGCGGCAGACCAGAATCCAAGCTGCAGAGCCCATGGCTTTGCCCCATTGCTGGCTTCTGCAGTCCTGGTGGGCGGGCATGACCCTCAGGGCTGCCTGTACCCCCCAACCCCCACCCCAGCAGGTGAGTCCCAGGAGGTTTGGACTAAAGGCAGCGACAGAGGGGACCAACTGTCACTACCACCCCAGGTGCATCATGAGCATCTTTGTGCCCCAAAGGTCCCTAGGTCATAGCCCTGATGGCCAGCCAGGAGACACAGCATCTCCAGGGCTCCAGTGGCCAGGCATCCCTTCCCGGCATGGCTCAAAGGGCATGCATGCTGTTGGCGCCCAGCCCCAGCCCTGGCCCTCATCCCCTGCCCTTGGTGGGGACATGTCTGCACAAGGTAGTTGTGACCCGAAGCCCTTTTCCTCCTTGTGGGAATGGCTTTGGTGTGTCTGAGCTCTTAGGGTTACAGGGGGCCCCCAAGAGAGCAAGGGTGCTGGGCTGGGGTCGGCTCTGGTGCTCCCTAGCTGCAGAGCCCTGAGCTTGGCTTCTCGGCTTTTCTAAAACTCCAGTTTCCCGACTATAAAATGGGGGACACTGGGCCCGCCTCCCTCCTAGGCTGTTGTGAAGCTTACAGAAGAAAATGGCTTTAAAGGCATTTTGAAAGCTGGGGGCCACGGAGCAATGGGAGTGTTTACCCTCCGCCAGTTCACACAAAGCACCGGAAAGCATGAGCTCCTGGGGTTCTAGATGGTTCCCGCACTCCTGGGGAAGGTGTTGCCTCCCAGTCTCCCTGACTCTGGGCTCTGCTGGCCCCTGGGAGCTGCCCGATCCTGCGGGGAGACTGGACCCATGATGGGCTTCAGATGGGAAGCCCAGGGAGCAGGATCCCATGCCCATCCCCAGCTGGGAGCCTGGCCAGCCGCCCTACCCCGGTGGCGTCAAGGCCCCCGTCTGAGGAATCCCCAGGGCCAAGGAGGCCGCAGCACCTCCTCAGGGGGGTCCCATCTCTGGGCCTTTGCCCTGGGGACAGAAGGCGTTTTGTGTGTCTTACAGTTCATGCGAGAAGAGCTGTGTGAACGCATGTGTACCTGGGCATCATCACATATGCACAGTGGATGGCAAACCTGCATTTATGCACACACACACACACCCCTTCTCATACACACACACACACACACACACACACACGCACACACACGTACCTACTCATCCTACTCACCAGCCTGTCTAGAGGGACTGAGCCTCCCTGATCAGGCAGCCAGTGGCCCCCAGGTCCTTTCCCTCCAAACCAGGAAGCCATAGGCCCCGTGTTCCCACCTGGCCTGAGGTCAGCATCTCTCTCGCCCCACAGTACCCTCCAAACCCTTGCGAAGTGGTCAGACCTCATCCAGTTCACCTTCGACGTGTCATAAGTGGGGAGCCCACCAGCTTCCATTGACTCCCTCCCGGCAAACAGGAGGTCCCAGGCTCGCCCACCTCTAGCCTGACCCCCAGCCAAGCTTCTCAGAGGTCCCAGATTCTTCCACACTGGCCCTGGGGGCCCAGGTTCTGGAGCCCCTGCCCTGGGCCTGGAGTGAGAGCAGACCCAGTGTGCGCTCACAGCCTGGCTGGCCCGCCGGGCTGCGGCTCCTCTGGGACAGAGTTAGGGGGACTTGGAACTAGGGGAGCATCTTTGACACACACTCAGCTGCCTTCTCAGAGGCAGCCCCCACCCTGTGGCGGCCCACTGTGCTCAGAGTGCCATCAGAACCACCCATGGGTGCCCTGGGTCTGGGTGTATCTAGGTCAAGTCTGGACACTCAAGGTGGGCGGGGGGAGCTGCATGGGGGCTGAGAGTCTGATTTTGCCTGGGTCCCACGTGGAAGGGTGCAGGATGACCCCCACAGTACAAGAACAAAGCCGAGCTGGGACAGGTGGTAAAGGGATGGCGGGGAGACAGGCAAGGTGGCCCCAACCCTCCCTGATGCTCCTGAGACGGGACATGTGCGCCTGCCTCAGACCAAGTTAAGAACTGGCATCTCCCCCCCTTGCACCCTGAGTCCCAGGAGCTCGGTACGTGCCTCAGTACTCACCCAGCACCCCCAGCAGGTACAGGGCGGCTAGTGACGGCTGCTGGGACCCCATGGGCTCGGCCTCCTCCTGCCTCAGCCCTGGCAAGCTCGGCACCTGTGGGTGAAAGGCGTCTCGTCCTGGGTCTCCCTCTCGGGGAGGAGGGGGTGGGGTGGGCAGGCGCGGGCAGGGGTGTGACAGGGAAGCAGGCAGTGCGAGGCCTGCGTCACCTGTGTTTGAAGTTGAACTGTCAACTTCCTCCTGGTAAAACCATCTGCTCCAGTTCGAATGGCGGCCCTGGGCTCTGACAGCTTCCTGCCTGAGGTGCCCAGGCTGGGGCAGTGGCCCCGACCACACCGCGCTGGGACGGGGCCGCAGCGTGGGGCAGCTCTGGGCCCGGCTGCTGAGGGGGAGGAGACCTGGCCTCCCTGCGGGTGGTTCTGAGGGGATCGGGGGGCGGGCGACAAGCTCCCCAGGCAGGGGTCTCACTGAAATGGCACTGAGCTGTGCTAGCAGGGGACAAGTGGGTGTGGGGGTGCCACACCAGTTCTTGCCAAAGGCACGGTGGTGAAAACACCAGATGAAACCTTCTGTCTCCTTTTTGCGGGGATGAGGTAGGAATTTGAGATGGAGCCCCAGGTGGTGGTATTTTACCATAGAGCACGGAAGAGGGCTCCTCCGTGAATGCTGGGCATGTGTGTGCGTGTGTTGTGTGTGTGTGTGTGTGTGTGTGTGTGTGTGATCTCGTCGGTCTGCGTAATTTCCATGTCAGCATGTGTGATCTCCATGCAGTGTTGCTCCCACAAGGGCTGGAATCAACCTCTGGCCTGTTAGGAAGAGCAGGTGGCTGGGTTTCCGCAAATTAGCTGGGGGGCGGGGGTACCTAGCTCGGGGGAAGGCCTTCAGCCCCTGGACCCCGGGCTGGGTTTGGTCCCTCTGCTCTCCAGGACGGGGCAGACCCTGACCTGGGCTCCTTGGGGCGTATCATAATGTGAGCCACACCAGGAGGCACCGAGCTGACTGTGAACAAGCGTGAAACCTGAAATGAGTGTCAAGGCCTCCCAGCCACACCCTTCTGACCCTCTGCAGCAGCTCTGGCTCCTGGGCCCGGCCTTCCCCGAGCACCCGGCTCCCCAGCATTCCACCCCGCCCCATCTTCCCTTGGGGGGCTCCAGGTGCTTGCATCCGCTCACCAGAATGCAAGACTGGAGGCCGGATGAAAGACTGAGGACCTTGTGACAGCTGTGACTAGGGGCACAGTGACCACCTCATAGGAGTAGGACACTGCGTTAGCATCAGCCTGCCTCCGGGCCCTGGCCCCTGCCCGCACACCTGTCCTCCTGTCTTCGGACCCTGAAAATCCCAGAATTTAACATTTTCTTTCTTCCTTCCTTCCTTCCTTCCTTTCTTTCTTTCTTTCTTTCTTTCTTTCTTTCTTTCTTTCTTTCTTTCTTCTTTCTTTTCTTTTTTTTGAGAGAGCACACATGTGTTTGAACAGGGGTGGGGAGGGGCAGAAGGAGGGAGAGGGAGAGAGAGAATCTTGAGCAGGCTCCCTGCCCAGCATGGAGCCCAACTCTGAGATTACGACCCGAGCCACCATTGGGAGGCCAACGCTTAACCCACTAAGCCACCCAGGCACCCCGGAATCCCAGACAAATTAATTCACTCATTCATTCGTTCAACAGAATTTTGCCCCATGCTAACTGCCAGGGATGCCGAGATGAAGGAGACAGACTGGGGCCCCATTTCGCTTACACTCCGAGGACCCCTCTGGATAATTTTTCTCTTACAGTCTCAGTGTTCAGCAAGTGTGTATTGGTCACACGAGCCCTGCGTGGCAAGTGGCCCTTCACAGGCCCAGTTCACACTTGGTTTAGAGAGTTGTGCTGTGAAAGGGAGAAGGCATTTTACCGAGCACCTCAGTGAGCCCGGGGTGTCGCCTCTTTCATTTTTCCCAACCATCGCAGGCAGAGGGTGGCTTTCCATGTCCATGAAGAAAACTGAGGCGCAGAAAGCAATGCACTTGGCCTCTGGAGGCCAAAACTAAGACTTGAACGCAGGTTACTCCCTCTCCCTGCCACTCCCCCCGCCCCCACGGACCCAAAGCAAAGAAAACAAACAGAAAATTTGGCTTTTTATGTGATCTCGAGTCTTCCTCACCAGCAAGGGTGGGGGTTCCAATCCTTTCTTTTTGTCTTTGGAAAACTGAAGGCAGCTCAGGGCCTGGGGGCTTGGTCCCTGCCCCATCCCACTGGAAGGGCACCTCCACCCAGGCCTTCCCCACTCCCCGGACCTGATGGGCTCCCTCTTTGGCCTCATCCAGCCCTTCCTCTGGGTCCCATCCCCCTGGAGTCACCCCTCCCACCTCCAGGCTTGCTGTCCCCAGCTCAGACTCCAGATCCCAAGTCCCATCCCCCTTGAGTCACCCCTCCCACCTCCAGGCTCGCTGTCCCCAGCTCAGACCCCGGATCCCAGGCCAGAGTTTCCTGTTCTCATCACCACACTTTCCATGACACAAGAGGAAGTCAGCTGGGCCGGGGTTGGGTTTTCCAAGCAGCCCAGCAGCTGTGGGGCCAGAGGTGGGGGGCAGAGAGGGGGTGAGCCACCCCCAGGGCCCGGGCCTCAGTACCTTCTCGGCCTCTGTGAGAGAGGCACCTGCCTGTGCTGCCCTGGGCCCACACCAGGTAACCCCGGGGTGTGCGTGCGTCTGTCTGCTGGTCAGTCAGCCCCTCTGGGCTCTGTGACTCCCCAGTGTCCCCAGAAGTTGCCCTCTTGCCAGCGCTAAGGGGCCACGGGAACAGATGCAGGGGGAAGGGGAGGAGCTGAGCACTGGGAGGCAGGGAGGACGGGAAGGAGGCCCAGAAATGTGACTGGTGCCTAGTAGGTCCTCAGTGTTTGTTGAATGAATGAATGAATCTGGGGGATGGTCTGGTGGCTGGAGGAGAGGCCTCTGCTCTGTGAGTATTTGTTAAATGATTCAGTGACCTGAATCCTTGAGAACCTTGGAGAGGGGGGCCTGCTGTGGGGAGCAAGCTTTGCAGAAGCACCCCGCCCCCCTCCATATCAGGAAGTGCATCCTTCCCCAGCTGTGTTCCTGCTCAATCAGATCATTGGTGGGGGTGGGCTGAAGGGAGGAGGGAGAAAGTGGGACAGGATAGGATCGGATTCTGGTTCTGGATGGACAGTTGAGGGGCACGCAGGCATGGTGGAGGGGCTCTGGCCCAGGCAGTCACCTGCACGTGAACCCCAGCTCCGCCCCAGATGGCCAGGTGGATGCTCAGAGCCTCTAGATGACTTGTCTGCAAAATATGGGGTTGGATGATCCCGAGGCCCATTCTCTTATTGTAGGAACCCTCTGGGGTTGCGTTAGTCCGTTCTCTGTTCTGGGACCTGAAGGGTCTGACTCTTTCTCTTGTGTGAAAGGGTGTCAAGTGCTGGGCTTTTGGTGAAGGGCCAAGGGCTGAGGACGGGAGGTTGTGCAGATAGGGGTGTGCTGGCTCTGTGAGGTGGCTCGGTGTGTGCATTTCCTCCTGTCCCAGGTAGGTGGGGCTGCCCTCAAGGCCCTGTCCAGCCCACAGGGACAGGTCAGGGCGCCTTTCCCCCAGTTTTTTTTTTTTTTTCTTTAAGATTTTATTCATTTATTTGTCAGAGGGAGAGAGAGTGCTGTGGGTGAGCTCACAAAGCAGCAGGGTTCGGGGGGTGTGGAATAGCAGGCAGAGGGAGAAGCAGGCTCTCGACTGAGCAGGGAGCCCGATGTGGGGCTCCATCCCAGGACCCGGAGACTGTGACCTGGGCTGAAGGCAGATGCTTAACAGACCCCACATCTCTCCCAGCCCTTCCTGGGAGCCCGGTTGTGCTCTGCTAATACTGGCCTCACACCCCGGTGGTGAAATCTTGGGGCCATGACTCAAGCAAGTTCCTGAGACTCCTTATCTATAAATCATAATGTTTTGAAGATGAAGCAGAATAAAACGTGTAAAGAGCAAAATGCACTCCTGATGCCTAAGAAGGCTTCTGGGAACCTTGATTATATTGTGGTGAACATTTCAGGGGGCGGGGAGTAGAGGGGTTTGGGGGATCTGGAAGCTGGCTTTCCCCTCTGACTAGGTGACCTTGGGCAGGTTGTTTTCCCTTTTGGAGAATTCCTTTGTAAGATGGAGTAGGGAATGAGCCCTGGTTCCCATCAAAATGACAGGAAGGGTGTGTAAACCCTGGTGCATGCCCCTGAGTGTGAGAGCCAGTCAGCGGAGGTCTACACCAGCCAGCCCCAGGACCTCTTCACACTTCCTCACTGGGGCTGTGTGTGTGGAGGCCCAGCAGACGCCCTTGAAAGGACTGACCTGGGCTTTTACCCCAGCCCCTGACCCACAACCCTGGACCTGCAGCAGGCCATCCCAAGCCAGGTGTGTAAGAAAAATGTCCCCAGCCCCTGGCCCACAGTGGGTGTGAACCACATATGTCAAGGACTCAGCATTCACGGTTTCTCTTCCGTTGCTCCGGAAAATAAGACCGGACTTGTCACACCGTGGGGCATGAGTTCGGATTGAGAAAATAAGGCCACCTAGCAGAGAGAGTAGGACAACTGTTAACCAAGCCCATTTTTCAGATGAAGTAATTGAGGATCAGAGAGGCACAGTGAATTCCCCAAGGCACACAGCCAACTGGCAGTGAGGTTTGGCCTGGACCCCCACGTCTCCTGGGCTGTGGGCCACCCTTCCTGGGCACAGCCTCTCTGGCATCTTGGGCTGGGACCTCCCCTGGCCTTTGAAGGTCCCACTGTGTTACAGTAGATTGTGGGGGTGTGGGGGACTGACAGGTCAGCTGTGTGTCCTTGGCCCACAGCCTCTGCTCTCAGACACTCCCTTCTGATGGAGCATGGAGGAGGAGATAGGTCCAATCCAGCCTCTGGGAAAGTCAAGGAAGGCTTCCTGGAGGGGGTGACATCCAGAATGAGGCCTGAAGGGCAAGTCGGAGTTTGCCAGTTTGGCAAAGGGATGTTTTTCAGGCTGAGGGCAAAGACTTCTGGGTCATGTTAGCATAATAACTGTGTAACTACAAGTGAGAAGAATTGAGAAGTTGGGGGGCCTGGGGGTGAGTCCTGACTCCGTCCCTCACTGGCTCTGTGTCTAGGGTGGAGTGTTTCCTCCAGGCCTCAATTTATTTATGAAATAAAGGGGCTGCAC